TATTTTTTGAAGGCCACTTTTTTTTATCGATTTTGAGATCAAATTATCTAACGATCCAAGTAGAAAGCAAATGAGTATTTACGAGTTTTTATTACCTAATTTAAATAGACATAGTTTGCCCCCTTTCAGATTGAAAACGCCCCAATTCTAAAAGATTTCGTAAATAAAATAGTTGTAGGTTACGATGAGATGAAGCTATTTACAAAGTCTCAGTCGGTTTTTTATTATTTAATTTAATTTTATAGCATATAGTCCGTGGTACAGACCTCTTTTTATCGAATTATTAACATCCGACTGAGACATCGTAAATAGCTTCATCTCAACGTAACATAAAACCGTTTGGCGTGACCTACTCCCCCAAAATTTCAAAACATTGACTTTATATAGGACAAACGGCCCAATATTTTTGTAGGCCACCTTTTTTATCGATTTTGAGATCAAATTAACTTACGATCCAAGTAGAAAGCAACTCGTTTTAGTACCTAATTTAATTAGATAAAGTTTGCCCCTCTCCATATTTAATCCGCTAATAAGCTATTTACGAAGTTTCAGACGGATGTTAAGAATTCGATAAAAAGGGGTCTGTACCTCGGACTATATGCTATAAAATTAAATTAAATAATAAAAAAAATTGAATGAAGTGAAAATATATAATAAATATAATAATTATACCTTTATTTGACGTTGCTTTTTTATATATGTATATTTATTTTAATTTTTTTTTCTCATTATTATATCTTTTCACTTCGTTATTTTTTTTTATTTCTCTTTTACAACATATTTATGATTTTTGATCAGATATGGCATAATTTTTATTATTCGTTTGTTTCCCTTATCTGAGCACAGTACTTCCTGTCATGACATATGGTTGTGAAACATGGGCAATTGACCAGAAGACTTGCCACAAATTGAGGATAACTGTCAGAGGAATGGAGCGATATCTTCTGGGGATAACTCGAAGGGATAGAAAAACAACAAATGGATTAGAGCTAAGACTGACCTTCCAGATACTGTGGAAAAAGTGCTCATCAGGAAGTTCACCTGGACCGGACATGTAATCAGGAGGAATGAATTAACATGGACCAGGCAGTTTATGGATTGGTATCCAAGAGAGCACGTGAGGAAGGGAGGACGCCCGCCGACGGACTGGGACAAGGAGATGAAGAAGACCTGCGGGGAAGCAGCCTGGAAGAGAGTAGAATTGGAAAGGAAAGAATGGAAAAGGATGGGACAGGTTCATTACCTAGTGTTGTTACTAGAAAGTTAAACATAAAAAAAAGAAAGAAAGAAATCGAACTCAAAACCTCAACTAAGTTGATTTTGTACATATAAGAGATTTTGTATATTTTTATCCATTGTATCCACAAATAAAGGTTATTATTATTATTATTCCCTTATCAGTTGTTTGATCTTAGTTTTCCCTTTCTGTATTCTCTCACCTTCCTTTCAGTATGGGATTGGGTTTCTTGGAGTGATGTTCGATTAGCTGTTCGTTTCAGTCCTGATCATGCCTGAATTGGCGAAACGTTGACGGGGTTTTCTTTTCCTGCATTTTTAAAACATATCTGTGGTTCGGAATTTTTCCAATAATATCCTAACATTTATGTTCTGTCTCTTGATAACTTTATACTAATTTATAACAATATATTTATAAATATATATAAGTGTGTGTGTGTGCGATTAGCAGTAAATATTATCAACTACTGCTCTAATCAATCATTTTTACTTTTAATTATTTACTGGTATATGCACATGTTCCATATTACTAGTACATAAGTCTCTCCCCACGTTTGTACCTGGATAAGGAACACGTAGGCCTTACAGAGGGGTTATTGTGGTGGAACTGTCGACTCGAACACACAATCTCCAAACCGTGAAGCCTATTCAAACCCATCTCCTGTCTTCGTCGACCAATTTGCCAAACCTCTCTTGCCGTATTGTGTTTGGTAAGGGACAATTGCTTCATACTAGTGCTTCAATTGAGTACATACATTGGAGAATATTGCCTAAAATTGAGCTAAAATAGAGTTCAATTTATAAAGAACGTATGTAAGATTTTTATTACACTTTAGAAAAAAATAAAACTCTGATGCGGTACGTCCTTCATACAAATTTTACTTACTACCCTGATTTTAGTTAGAATAAGTATTTTCATTCATAATTTGATAATCGAAAATAAAAAACATAAATGGTACAACATATAATGTAAAATAATTGATTAGTATATGTTAACGCCGCATAGGCTTATTTCTTAACTTTTGCATTATTATTTTCTCTCACATTTATCCCTTTTCAATGTTAATAATAAAATGTTTATTTATTTTTTTTTGTAAAAGTTTGAGGGACAATTGTTCCTAAAATGTATTATAGTTTATATTTGGCTTCGTTTGCGATGTGTTATCGCGTTTGTGTATACACACCAGCCCGACATTAATACCCAGTCTTAGGGATTAAGACACAAATAAAGCCATAATACTGTCGGATGCAGTCTTAAGCAAGTCTGGAGATAGCTCTTGTCAACACTAGACCCATATAGTGGAAGTCTACCCCCACCAGCTCAGACTCACCACATCTCACCTAGCGCCATTTTCGAGGATCAGCTGTTGGGCGCAGCTGAGTAATCGATACATATCGATACCACCCCACCATCGATTACTCGACAGCTGGACATCGAAAGGTAACCAGGTGGAACCTCCAACCTGGCTCGTATTTTGGTTTTATATTCTCACCATCAAAAAGGCATTAGAACATTAATTAATTTTTGTTTACCCTATAAATAAGGCTTATTTTTTTGGACAGTGATTTTTTCTCTCTTGGTTTACTATAATTTTAGAAGTTGGTTTTATTTATATTATGCTATTAATGGTTAATTTGTTTTTATTTTCTCTGCATATTATGTTTATGTTTTATTTTTCTCGCAACTTTACACCAATATTTATTTTAACTTTTGTGCATAATTAGATCTTATTTATCTCAATAAACTGTAAACATTCAAAAGGGGATTTTTTATTTTCCATTTTTATGTATTGAAATATTTTTATTTTTTAATATTTTAGTCTCATTATTCACTAATTTTTTTTTCTCCTTCTTTCCCAACGTTTTTAATTTCACTCAAATTTTCCCCACCATTGAGGAAACGCACCGGGGAAAGATTTGTACTTCGGTTTTGAAGTACCTCTGGCCCCAACAGTATATATTTTTTTCCCCACACCTTTAATCTATTAAATTTGTGTGTTTTTCGTCACTAACCGTTTCCCTTTGAGATTTTTATTATGTATTAAATAGCTATACTACAACCATAATAAATAATAATAATTAAAAATTTAATGCTAAATAAATGATTATAGCAGCAAAAATTTAATCATTAATAATCATTGAATAATGAATAACAATTAATAAATAACCTATAATTATAAAATAATTTATTAGAATTTAACAATTAAATATATTAAGACTCTAACTTAATAGTATTTGAAATATAGTAATTTATTCAGAGAAAGTATTGTGTTTGTGAAAATTTTGAATCCGAATTTTAAACGGAAATTATTCAAAATGACTTTCTCAAAGTTATGTTGTTTTTTTTGTCTTTAATTCTTCATCCGCTCCTGTCATGGTAGTGACAATTAGCAGATTTGTATTACCTTTGAATATAGGTTTTTTAAATAATTAACTATTTTAAATTAGAACATGTAATAAAAATGGTGCAATAAAAAAAGTATTAATGATAACATAATTATAAAAGAGGTAATAATTAAATCAATATTATTTGGATAATCAATGATTATTAAATTATAAACAATAATGAAATATTAATTAATTAAATAACTATTGATATCAGATAATTGATAAAAATTAGACGATTGATACTAGTTAAATAACTATGAGTGTATTTGGCCGAAGCGCTCTCGATCAATCTTCACTGGATTTAGTACCAGTGAAGAGGTTGAGAAAGTAGCGTAGAGATCTACTGGAGCCCTGCTTTTTCTTCCATGGTTGGAGGGACAAGACTATCTCGCCTGAATGTAAATATTGTATATAGGTATGTATGTATTTATTTATCTTTAAGTTATTTTATTTATTCTACTTATTTATTTATACTCTTTGATTAGTTATTTTCGTTCTGTATATTTTATTTTTATTAGAGAGAGTGAAAGCTGAGTGATAGGGCACTAAGCTTCCAATCCTAAAGGACCTAGGTTCGAATTCCGACTTATGGCAGACAAATTATTCATTGGCGTAGGGCGACCCTGTAGGAACCTGGGTAGGTACATCCTCCTGGGGCACACCCAGCCCCTACAAGGTGGGTACCCTTAATTAAAAAATTGATTAAGGAGAAAAAACCTGGCGGTTGAGCGTGATCTCGGTCAAATCACCTCCTTGCACAACCGCAGACCAAGAAACAGTGCTTTCCCTAAATAGTACTGAACCCAAGACCCTTCATGTGTTGGAGTGGTACAGGTTAAGGTTTTTTTATTTTATATTTTATTTTTTGTACATATTTTGTCAATGTTATCTTACATCCCTATAATCAATGTCCATGTGACAGATTGTTATATGTTTCAATAAATAAGTAGAAAATAAAAAAAGTTAAATAACTAATGATGATTGAATTACTTATAATGATTTAATTTATAATGGTGAATAAATAACTAATGACGATTAGAAAACTATTGATAATTGAATTACTTTTTTTATTGCACCATTTTTTATTACATGTTCTAATTTAAAATAGTTAATTATTTAAAAAACCTATACTCAAAAGTAATACAAATCTGCTAATTGTCACTACCATGACAGGAGCGGATGAAGAATTAAAGACAAAAAAAACAACATAACTTTGAGAAAGTCATTTTGAATAATTTCCGTTTAAAATTCGGATTCAAAATTTTCACAAACACAATACTTTCTCTGAATAAATTACTATATTTCAAATACTAATAAGTTAGAGTAATAAAGGGTTCATAATTATCTAAAAGCTTAAAATAACAATGTGTCTGTAGGGGCTGTTTGTGTGGACTGGTTCTAAAAGGACACGGCTGCTATACACGTGCTCTCAAAGGATCAAAAAGAATTTAAAACTAAATACTTGTATTTAAAATCGAAAGGGTAAAAGAAAACAATTGGATTTTTTTTTTTGTAAATGATTTAAAACTGGAAATATCAATATTGTCTTAAATATAGTTATATTTTTAAAGAAAAAAATTGCGACTTCTTTCGTTATTATTGTTATAACCTAATCTTCAATGAAGAATTGAAAATTCATGCATTTATCCAATTGAATTGATCAAGTCTGTTTAGTTCTTCCTCAGTTTAGAAACATCTAGAGAACTTTTCCAGAGTTATTCGAATAGAAACTATCATCGAACAAGTCGATTAAAATTTGATTATTCAAAGGAAGCTCGCTAAACCGTAGTTTAAAGCGAAGTTACTCGACGTAAGTTACTCGTAAACATTAAAACTTTAAATTACCAACCTAATATTAATTCCGCGTTCTTCTAAACTTTGATATCATTCCTTTCAAATATGAAATTCAAATTGATTAAGCAGAAAATTCTCTAGGAATTATCCGACGACGAGAAGTATAATTTCTCTAGATAGAAACCTAATTAGCATATTATTCTGGAAAATCATTGGTATAACAAGCTAAAGTAAGTTAGTTGTAAGCGAAATATAACTAAAATTCATTCCATTAATTAAAAATATTATTTATTTATGCTATAACAATGCTCTTTTTTTTTTCTTTTTTTTATTGAAAAATATTACAATCTGTCTCAAGGACATTTATAATAGTATTCACAGATCACATTCACACTCTATGTACAATAAATAAAATAAATTATACAGAAAATTAATATATATATATATATATATATATATATATATATATATATATATATATATATATATATATATTATATATATATATATATATATATATATATATATATACAATAAATATGAATAAAATAACCTAAAAATAAATGAATAAAAATAACACATACATAACTATTATAACAACAATGCTAAAGTATAAAATCAATGTCCAGTAAAATTAGTAGCTTCCTTAGGAGTTGCCAATTCGAAAAATTGAACTTCCATTATTTTGCTGTAGTTTTGAAAATATTTATTTTTGTTATTATATTTATTTTCATTATGATTAGTTTCTGTTTTATTTATTGTAAACAGAGTGTGAGTGTGCTCTCTGAATACTTATTATAAATGTCCTTGATTGTGACAGAATGTAATATCTCTAAATAAACAAAATAAAAAAAATTGTAAATGAAGCTGTTCATTTCGAGCGTCATTGTCCTATCATAATCTAATTTTTGTGAGTAATATTTAATTTTATCAGTAATAAATAGCCATGGAAACAACTTAGGGTCGAAATACCCTCTTGGGACCTAGCCTCTATAAAGTAGTTACTCCAGAAAAAAATAGAGTTGATGAAAAGAGGCAACGCTGCAAGGAGGCGTTTCAGAGGAACATGTAATCCGGATAACTACTTCTCTTTTAATACTCTTCGAAACATTACCCAATATTCCTTCTGAGGTGCTAAGGCACAATTCTTTCATTCTTCTTTATCACAAGCCTGAGATCCTAAGTCCTGAAGGAAAATCCTTAAAAATCTCTCTGTGGTAAAATCGAAAACCTGCATCTCCTACTCTGTTTCTTCAGAACTGAATTATCACTTTGCTGATCCTGACTAACTACCACGTTCCTCCTCATACTATATTCCTAAAGCTTCCTTTGAAAATTTCTATTTTACAAATATTCTCCCAAAATACCTACTTTTCTCTTTCTTAAAATCCTGAACAAACTGTAGCATATTCTAAATCTGATATTTTGGGTGGTTTAGGGGAGTGTAAATCAGTTAACATTTTCCGTTGCAATTTAATTTTTTAAATCATATTGTTTTAAAAAGAACATATGTTTTTATTTAGTTATGATGTAAACAAGTTTTTGGATGATTTAATAAATGAATTAAAACATTTATTTTGAATTATATTTTAAAAATATAACACAGACGACTATGACCCGGACCTAATTCCTGTGAAGTTATTCAAATTCTGTTTTTCTATCATCTTTCCTTTTCTACTGCATATTTAAAATTTTCTCTTACAAAATTCCAGTTTCCTGTCACCTCAGAAAAAGTTATTGTCCGCCCACTGAGTTTCGGTTCCCTCCAAAGTTTCCGATTTCAGACCCATCACAATTCTTTCTAATCTTTCAAAGCCTTTTCAAAGAATGCTCCACTCACAGCTTAATACCTTCCTTGAACAAAACGCTCCTTAATCCCTTCCAGTCTTGTTTCCAAATCCAGTTATCTACCCAATCCGCTTTGCTGAAAATTTCCCAGGGTTTCCATTTCTCAATAGACAAACAGAAAATCTCGATCTTAGTCCTCTTCGATTTTTCAAAGGCTTTCGATTCCGTAAATCACGAAATCCTCCTTACCAAACTCCAAAACGTTTCCATATCAAATAGTGCCCTAAAGTGGTTCCATTCTTTTTTGTATCAAAGATCCAAAAACAGTCATCATTCATAATAAAACTGCTTCCTCCACCTCTTACTAACTCGTGGTGTTCTTCAGGAATCTTCGCTCTCTCTAACTCTTGTTTATTTTAATATTACGTTTTCAATTTTGTAAATTAATTTATTTTTAACTGCAATTTAATAATTCACAATCACCGGTTAATTGCCAATTTTTGTTCATTGTAGTTATTCTGAGGGGACTAAATGTCCCAGAATAAAATTTACTTTCTTTCTTTCTTAATTAATTAATTAAGAGGGAAAACATAGCAATTAAGCGTGATCCCGGTGCAATCACTTCCCTGCACAACCTTTGACCTTGAAAAAGAACTTCGTTAGAAAGTACTGAATCACAGACTATTCATGAGTTGAATTGATATAGTTTCTCACTACTGAAGGTAGAGAAGCTTTGTATTCTTTACGTTTCAGACATCAAGAATCAAATTTGGTTCGGTGTCTGTTTTCTTTTTGTCGGTCTAATTGTCTGTCGGTCTATAGTCAAAAGCGATGTGAAGAGAATATCAACTACTATCGTATATTTCAAAACCGGCTTTTTTGGATTTGGCTCAGAGTTGAAAAAAAGGTGGGTCTAGGTTACAAAATGACACTGTTTCGATTTTATTAAATTCCATAAATAGTCAAATAAAAGTGTGAAGATTTTAAAATTATTAAAATAATAAACGGTGATAAAATTATATAATAATAAGACATGAAAATATAATTATATCTACCGAATCGGAATATATGAAATTCCTGTCCTATGTGATATGAGAAAAAAACATACGAAACAAAGAAGCTTTAACGATGTTATTTTCATTTAAAATAACTCCCTTTAGTATCAATAAGCTTCTTCTAAATAAGAATGAATTCGTTTATACCTGTTTCGAAGTAATCTCTTTTCATTGAATACAAATAGTAAAGAAATGAAAACGTTTTCTCGTTTTCATTATGAAACATATTCTTTTGTTTAAATCCATGAAGTGCTTTGAAAAAATATTTTTCTGTTAAAGGAGGGGGTGAATATGACGGATGAATCAAAACCATTCTTTTTTCTTTAAACAAGAAATAAAAACTTGTCCAACATTGCTTTCTAAATTAATCGATGAGCTCATTGTTCGAGTAGAATCTGTTTCTAGACTAGACAAAAGTATGCTATTGTATTAAAGCTGTAGGAAGTAATATTAAAGAAAATTATCGTTAAACTTTGTTTTGTCTTTATCGGCCTCGTAGCTTATAGTCCGTTGTACTGACCTCTTTTAGTTAAATTATTAACATCCGCCTTAAACTTTGTGTTTAGTTCCATCTCATCGTAGCCTACAACTATTTTATTAACGAAAACTCTTGCAATTGGGCCGTTTTCAATCTGGAGATCAGCGAACTTTGTCTATTTAATTAGGTAATAAAGATTCATAAATACTCATTTGCTTTTTACTTGAATCATATGATAATTTTATCACAAAACCGAAGATAAAGGTGACCTACTGAAATATTGGGCAACTTCGTTATTTTGAAATGTTGGGAGTGTAGATCACGCCAAACGGCACAATATTTTTGTAGGCCACATTTTTTCTCGATTATATGATCAAATCATCTTACAATTCAAGTGGGAAACAAATGACTTAGAGTTTTTAGTACCAGATTAAATAGACTAAGTTTAGTGATCTACAGAATGAAATCACCCCAATTCCTAGAATTTTCGTAAATAAAATAATTGTAGGTTACGATGAGATGAAGTTATTTACGAAGTTTCGGATGGATGTTAATAATTTCATAAAAAAATAGGTCTGTACCACCGACTAAAACAACTTGCGCATGCGTACATGTATTTACTTAGGTGTATTTCAGAAATGGCTAGTTCGATTTGGTTCCAAGTTGAAAAAAAAAAATAGTTTTATTAATGCGAATACGTAGTCTCCTTGAAATTATTATATCTCAACCACATTTTTTATTTCTTCCAAATTTGAAGAGAAGTTTGGGATTGATAATTTAATTTATTCACAAACGAAATTTTATTGGCATTGAGATATAGGTAAGTGAAAATGGAAGCTCCTCGCCTCACTTGGAGGTTTTACTATTTTTATTTTTTTTTTAGTAATATATGAATTAACAAAGTGATGCTTAATTTAATATCATTATTTTTGTTCGCGGACTTAATTTATTTTTATTAGACTTATTTCTGCCAGAAATCCGTTAGTCTATTGTCGGGAAGAATACGTAAGACATTAACTGGCATGAGTGATAATTTTTTTTTATAATCTATTTATTGAATAATAATCCAATCAGCCTCTGCTAGAGGTCTATAAGTGTTAGGGCTAAAAGTTCTCATTCATACAATATGAGTCATAATAGTGCGTCAATCTCACCAACTTCCTAACTGCCACATCAGACAAAATGATACACCTGGATATTAATAGAAATTATCCAATAAATAAATAGTTAAATTTATATTACAAATAGTAGGCCCGTGCGAAAAATTCTCGCATTGTTATCAAATGCCAAATTAATAAGAAAATAAAATAATGCAACGCATCAAAAGATAAAGTAATCAATTGTTACTTTATCAAGA